TATTGAAATCATGTTGCATTATAATATTCAGGACATATGATTTAGACGCCATGCAACTAATCCAAACTATGAAGTGTAGCGACAATGATGGAATTATTACGTAACGAAGTACTTAGTGAGGTCAATTTAATTCTTGGCTAACATTTTTTATCATTCAGTAGTAATCCAACTTTATATTCCTTAAAAATGCTTACTGTGCGTATATTTTAAAAACCTCATAATATTTATTGAATTTTATATTTAAAACATTTATCAAATACATAAATATAAATATTTTAGCCCTTCTTGATCATTCAACAACAATGCATTTCTATCAATATCTTCAATGATATACAGATATTGCCAAATGAATACAAAATGTATGAACGAAAATGTTATCTAAACTGCATTGGAAAGTATTGAGAAATACTTGGGAGATAGTTGCAGAGCATCAACATTTCAGTCACAGAATGATATAATATTAGCATTAAAAGGGCTGGGAAATGCTGGACATGCCGTTTCCCACAAAAACTTTGACAAATTGCTATAAAGTGCATTTTATCTCCAATATTAATAATATTTTTAATTATTCAGTTAAAATAATAATATCTCAAAATATAAATTATATTAACGTAGAATTTGGTTTAGACCAGCACTTTGCCAGTAGAAATCAGAGTACAGGCTTTGGCTGCTTATAGACGATTTTCGTGCAAATGGCAAGAAACCAAATTTTCCTCGATACCCTTGCCAAATAAACGGAACCAACTGAAGTAAGAATTTCTTCCTATCTGGCTGCAATGAACTGTTTGTCCAACAGGATTTATATAAGATACGTGGAGTACTTTTAGCTGAAAAGGCAACCAAGGTAATGTTATATGTTATTAAATTATAAACAAAGTAAATTTTAAATAGACAAGTATACTACTGAGTTTTTTTTTCATTTTATAGTGGGTTCCTTTATATGGACTCATTTGACTAATATTCAAGAATCTTCGGCTCGTTGGAAAACAGACATCAAACATCTATCACATCTTATCCAGTGAAGTTTGCGTAAGAAATTTGATACAAATTTTAGAAAGTTTCTAGGAACTACGAATTTTCATCTTTTTCGAAATTATTAAATGCTGGTGGAGCACTAGAGAGCAATGTTATTTTTTCACCTGAGTCGTATATACCTAGGTCTGCTATGGTCAATTTGACTCTTGATATATTTGGTGAAACTATGAATGTATTAGAAATTGGTGGTAGAGCAGAAGGGCTGGAAGATACTTTTGAAAAACTTTTTAGCCCTGATGGCTATTATCCGGATGAAACACTATCGAAAATATTCAATGTTATCAAAGCAGATGGCAACACCAATGAAATAGAAGCTTTCATACCTAAAAGTGAATATAAAAAAATAAGAGTACCGAAAGGCGCAATATATGCAAAAATATTTGGCAACGAACTAAATTATTTCAATTTCAATAATTTGCAAGATATGTCTAACACAGAAGATTTATTTCAAGACATGATATATAAACTGTTCCGAGGAAGGGATATAGATTTTGTTAAATCATTTAGTGTACTTGACGCATCCTATAGTATTCCTACGATAATTGGATTCCCATTGAGGCTTTCGTTGAATGCAACGGTACCGTAGGTTTGAAAATCGGTGGCAAAGTTGATGTGGAAAATTTTAGAGATTTTAAAATGAATGTAGTCGGTCATATTGTTCCAAGTGCTGCTATTCGCATTGTTGGCACTATGGTGATGGATGCTTCTGTTACAAAATCTGGTTTAAAAATGGATGTATCTATGAACTCAAACTCGTATATCGATGGTTCAATACGTCTAGATGAGGGAAAACTAGTTGATATTAAACTGAAAGTTCCTAAAGAAAAAATGAATTTAGTGAAAATTACTTCAGAAATATACTTAATAAGTCCATCCGGAAATGAACCTATTAAAGGTCATTCTCAGAGAGAAACATTTTATAGCTGTGGATCTGAAACGGCAGCTGTTATTACTGGAATGCAATTATGTAATGATATTTCTTATCCAAATGCTTCTTCTTCTTTGATTGCACCATATTTTCCGCTTACTGGATCTGCTCGTTATATATTGGATTTAAAAAAAGTTGACAACTTTGATTCTTATGAATTCAAATACCATAAAGAATCAAAAATAATTTCTAGTGAACCAGTTCATATGTTTAATTTATATATAAACACTCCAAACTCTAATGTAAAGAGAAATATAGATATCGGATACAAAATCTTCCCAAAAGCCATGAATGCGAGCGCTAAAATCCATACACCATTCAAAAGGTACAATTTTGTGGGAAAATTAACCAATACGGTGGCTTACAAGGCGCTTGAAAGTGAAATTTCTGAAGATGACAAAAGAATATTAGGCTTAAAGGAAGTATTGCAACCCAAGACGATAAAATATCATCGAATATAAACATACAATACTTTGATCGCATTTTTGCAGAAGTTGATGGGTTTATTGCATATACTCAAAAAAATCGATACAGCACTTTTATTACTTTATCAGGTTTTACGAAAGATAAAGTTTCATTTTTAGGAGATCTCAATAGAGATAAGGATAAGTGGTCGTGGAATGGTAACCTTGCAAGTTCTGAATTATCGGGTGATATGAAAGGTTCTTTGAGTTATACTTCATCAATATACTGTGTAAATAATTCTATGACGTACATTTTTAAAAATCAACAATTGCACAGCGTATCGCTTTATTTGAAATATGAAAATATATTAACGGGTATGCTTAAAAAGTTGGGAATATCATTTTCATTACAATCAACCGAATTTCCACAGTCTCATATTGAATTTTCATGGGGATTTCAGAAAACTCGTGGATATATTGAGCACAACGCGGTTGCGGGACTTGGAGATGTGATATGGAAAACTCATCAACTGTACCGATTGAAAATATTAGATGGATACTACGACTTTGAAGCGAAATGTGCTTTCAATTGTTTGAGCAAGGATATCGATTATTTAGTTAGTGCGAAATACCTAACAAATTTTAAAGGAATTATAGCGCACAGCATTGCCCGTTTGAATGATGAGCATCGAGCATATGCCAAGGTAAATATATTGAAAGATCCTTTAACAAATGATTTAGGAGTATTTCTGCAATTCTTGATACCTAAGAGAAAGTGGACTTTGGACGGTCATTTGACACATAAAGGAAACGAATATGGTGTATTATTTACCGGTTCAGCAATTCGGAGTTTTGCCGTAGAAGAAGAGATCAATTTCAAGGCTGTTGGTTCGTATACAGACCTCAGCGATATCTCAAAACTAGAACATTCAATCACATTGCATATTACTCAAAGCGGGGGAAACATCGAGCGAATAGAACCTTGGACGTTGAAAGGAAAACTATTAGTATCAAATAAACATTTTGAATGTAGCGCCAGCGCAGATTATAAAAAAAATAAATATGCTGCTGTACTATTGTATACGAATATTCATGAACATAAAATATCCCTCATTATGGACCTACCAAACCGGCATTATGAAAATACTCTGGTTTTTGCACTCAAGGGGCCAAATAAAAAATTATTATTGGATCTCGATTTAGAGAAGCGGATCTACTCATTATTTAATTTAAATACCAGCACTACCATACAGTTCAGTATGCTTTTTCACTGGGATAAGATCAACAACCCCGAAAATAAGTGCATTTTTTTGCTTGATTTAGACACCGCGCAACAGAGCTTTCGTTTAGAACTTCCCGGACAAAAAATAGACGGAATTAGTACAATTGAGTGAGTATAACAGTCATATGAAAACAAAGCTGATGCATTTATGTCTAAATTAAAATTGTTTATTTTAGAGATAATAAAGTAAAAATAATGGGTTATTGGAATGAGAATCAATGGATTTCGTTTGTAACATCTCATGAAGAGAAACAAGACAACTCTTTAATTAGTTTACATCTGGAATCAACAATTCCGATATTTAAAAAACATTTGATAAACCTGTCATATAAGGGAGCCGGAAAACGAGTAATGGACCTGAATGTATGGAAAGTTATTTTTTATAAACATCAACTATTGTTAGCAGTATTTTAAATAAGTTGTTGTATTTTAGATGCATTTCGAATGGATGAACAATTTTATATTACTGAACGCGACTGGTAATCACTCTCCAGCGTCAAATTTGAATACTGTCGTTAATGTGATGAGTTCCTTTTATCCGGTACCGAATATAACATTGGATTTTGCAAATAAATTAAATCGTGAATCGGATTCCGTACTTGTCCTAACAAATTGCAAGCTGTTCTATAACAAAGATTCATATCAGATAACAGGAAAATTTGAACGAGCTCAAAATTATTGTAATGCTGAGTATAGTATTAGCGGATCAAAAGAAACAATATCAAATATAATTTACAAATATTCAATTTCGAAACCTTTAACAGAAATATCAGGACGAATGTCATGGTTTCAAGAAGAAGTTTATATAAAATATGAACAAGAACCTCATCGAGCTGATTTCTTGATGACTACACCTTTTAAATACATCGAGCAAAACGCTTTCAATTACTACTACGACTTTCAACATTACAGAAGTTATTTTACAACTGAGATACAAATATTGCAGGAAAATTTTATTTACGATCATTTATAAATCATCCTAATGTCCATACTATAGATGGCACCGTGGACATTAGTTCTACTTTTTTGCCAAAGCTAAGTGTATTATTAGAACATCAGTTTTTAGGAGAAATGGTGGAAAAATTCAAAGTAATATACGATGACGAAAAACGATGTGCGCTGGATTTTGAGTTCTCTTCGGACAGATCACGTTATATGGGCTTAAATCTTGAAATACCTAATCATATATTGAAAACCAGGTTGGAAAAAGACTTTAATGAGGATCATAAGAAGTGGTTCGTTAAGTATGCTTGGAATAATGATACTTTACTAGCAACTCTTCATATGCGCGAAGAAATGGATATCGATTTCAACACAACGAATGATCAATATATTTTTGAAGTGACTGGTTCTATCGTAGAACACAAAACTCAAATGGAGTTCGAGAATAATGATAAAATTCTTCGTATTATAATTGATTCTAGTACAAACAATGAATGTGATGTAGAAATTTACTTTGACTACGATAAAATTGCAGGTAGTTCGAAGGCAATAGCATCTGGAAAAATTGGATCAAATAATTTGGATATAGTTTCATCTACCGACTTTAAACTTGAAACATTCAATCATATATCAGCTTGGAAATATAATGAATGGAATGACAACTTAGAATTTTCATATGCGCTTGAACATTACCAGTTGAAAAATTTAATTTTAAAATGGGATAGACCTTCTAAAATTATGGATTCCACTGATGAATCCATTCAACTTCTTTACAGTTTTTTTACTGATGATATTGTCAATGAACCAAAAATTTCAATTGTAGATAAAAAATATAACGAAAGTATCGATGTCAGCGGAAAATTTGTCAATTCTAATGAAACCTTTATATTTTTATTATCTGCCGAATCTTCTAATTTTGACCCTATCGAAATCGAGTTCAATTATAACTTAAAGCAGAATATTAAAACATCAGAATTAATTGTGAAATGGAACAAAGACGTTTTAAAGTTGTATGCGGATGCTGCTTTAAATAGTTCGATGATCATGGGTAACATAATCATAAATTTGTCCGACAATGAGTTGACCAGAATAAATGTTCTTTACAAAAATGCATCGGAAATCCAATTATCAGCAATATTAAATTCAACTCAAAGATATCAAATGCACGCTAAATATGAATTGAAACAAAATGCAATGTTAATTGCAACAGGCATAGATACACCTGTGAACGGTTTCAAACATTTAGAGTCAATATTTGATGTTTACTATGATGAAGAAAAAGGTCATGCTGCTTTCAAATTGACAAAAGATTCAAAACTTGTAGATTTATCATCATCATTTATGTATTTAAATGAACTTTACTCTGCCGATATATTACTTCATGATTCTCTATTTAATTTACCAAACTTGAATATGAAATTGGAGACTCTGGGACATCAAAATTTGAAACTAGAATCTTTCTGGAATTACAACAATGAAAAAGCTGCGTTTACTACGAATTTAGAATTTTTAAAAGAAAAATTTAAGTTCAATACCACTTTTCAAACAAGTGCCAGTTTGCTGCCGAAAGGACATCTAGATGTGCAGTACGACATAACAACTGCGATAAATACTTTTGGAATAGATTTAGGTTTGAAAGAAGATTTCTTAGTTTTGAATGGAATATACAATACTACAAATTTCAATAAAGAAGCATTATTAGAAATGGATTCGAAGCTTTCAAATTATCGTGAAAATGTAATTTTAAAATTAGGCACAGGATTAAATGATGATGATGTTGAATATATGAATATTTTATTAGTGAAAAATGAAAGTATATATAGCATCGAAACAAGCGCACATAAAGATGTTAAAGATGTTTTATACAATTTTACAATCAGTAGTCCATCTACTAATTGGAATAATGTTAGAGGTAAAATATTTTTGGTGCAAAAAAATCACGTCTCATCGGCTGGAATTGAGTGCGAAGTAGACGGTAATACTATAGCTTTATCTACAGATGTTCACTTAGAAGGAGCAAACTTCTGCAAGGTCGATATTAAATTTGATAGTTTCTTAGATAATTATGAAACCATACATTCTGGATTTATGTATGATTTAAGATCCGAAATAAAAATAGTGACATTGTTTCTATTGCCATCTAAACTTCATAAAGATAAGCACCAAATTGATTCTTCGCTGGATTTATCACATAGTGGTATATTAAAAGTAAACTTCAATGCAACATCGCCTATGTTATATGCTAAAAGCATAGATATCTCCACACAATATAGCTATGATTTGTCGGAGAAATTTGCTAAAGCTCTGATAGGTATGGTAGATGTAAATAAAGATTTGATTGATGACAGTTTATTCTCATTAAAAGTGAAAACTGAGGTTGAACTATGTGAAGATTGTGTAAAAGATACGTTTATTATAATTAAAGGGCAGCAATTTGCAAACAAAACTCATCATGTATTCCTTACAACAAATATTCTTAACAATGAAAACGATGTTTCATTATATTTTACACCTGACAGAGCAAAAGTTCTTGAACTAAGAATTAGGACATCATTTGAAGTATATCCGAATATATATCTCAAAGCATCATATGCTCAAGGTCTGATAAATACTTCTATACAATTGAACGAAACAAATTCCTTAAATATGCTTTTAAATTTAAGTGCTTTGTTCACTAAAGATCCCTTACTGAAAATAAATACTGCTGAAAAAGAATACTTGTTTATACAAGTTGGACAATCGCATGCACAAGCGAAAATTTATACAGAAAATAATTACGTTGGACATTTATCATACCGTGATAGAGGAACAGATTTTGTAATTAATTTTAATGCATCTAGAAATGACGCCTGGTTTTTGGCTTTTGACACTCAGCTCAAAAGAACAGATGATGACAAAATAATTCTTGAATATAATTTAAAGAATACTTTTAGTGCGAATAGTTATCAAAAAATGTACGGGATTATGACGTGTTTTTATGAATATAAAAAAGATTATTATATAGATTATACTCTATTCAATGTGGATGAAAAACTTATCGACATCGTAGCATCTATCAATAATATCACAAATTCAGGATTTGCTATGGGGTACAAAATTCAAACAAGTTTCAAATCGATGCAAGAAAATTTACTCGAAATTCGTTTCTACCCTGAAGTCGTTGACATATTAGGAGCGGTTTCGTTAAAAATGTATAATATTGAGAAAAATATACAAGGAAAAATAAAAATCAGTTCTAATGGTGACCAAGGTAATATCGGAATTAGCTGCAAGCAATCTCAAGAAGATTATGTACATTTTAATTGGATTTTAAACAATGATAATATAGAGGCAAGTTTGGATACATCTCATTCAAATGTTAAAAATATGAAGTTGTTGATGCATCGAAAGATAGATGCTGATAAACGTCTCTACTTGTTCCATACAAGGTGGTCTTATGCCATTTTTGAATCAAAATTAAGCTTATCTAACAAACATAATAACTACGACCGTGGACGAATTGCTTTTCAATTAATTACACCACTTCAAGTTCTGTCATCGATTGATATCGATTTACGTTATCATATGTTTCACAATTTTGCTGTCGATGTAGAAGTCAATAAAAAAATCTATAATTTCAAAATAGATCTTATACAAGAGGAAAACGATTTTCAAGTCGATATCATTCTGAATTCACGAAACCCATTTATCGAATTGTTTAAAATTTCTGGAAAACTCAAACATGTAAAAGTACAAGATTCAATCGGGTCATTGGCTATAGATTTATTCAACCAGTACACATGTACAGCAAAATACCAAATCAATCTCAAAGAATATTTAGGAGATGCTAATTTTATTTTGAACGTGCAGAATGTACATCTGAATATTAGAGGTGACTACGACGTGACTGATGCAAATGATGAAAGAATAAATTTAAATCTCGAGATACCGGACAGAGTTTACAAATTGAAAAGTAATCTGTCGAAAAGAGAAGGCGTCATAACTCTTACTAATTATTATAAAATGCATTTGCAGAACAGAAAAAGTATTTTATGGTACATAAAGAAGAATGCCGAAGAACAACAGATAGGCGTTGAATTTTCGATTAATAAAGAGAAAAACACTTGCATGATATCACTGCGGCCAAACTTCTACGGAATGAAATTCCGCGTATTGTTTGACGTGCGCAAAGTAAAAAGTGTTGTAGAATCTGAATGGAGCATGGAACCTGGCAACGAATATATAACTCTTGACTCGACATTTATGAACAATGAAGTAGTTTTAAATAGCGATATCAAGCATAGTAAAAATATATATTTTGTAAATTTGAATCTCGAAATGCCCTTGAACAATATAAAAAATATCACATATCAAAATGTGTTATCGATCGACAACAATTTCTTGTTTGATGGTGTCCTGATTTGGCAGATACACAACAGATTTGACAACGTGACATTAAAGGCAGAAGTGCGTCCATCCTTGAATAATTTGAATGCAATTATTTCTATGCAGACTCCTGTAACTGAGCCTTTTATGTTCAAAATTAATTATGATATCTCTGCCTCTAACAAATTATTCATTATGGACATTTCATCTAAGGGTAACACTTTGGTTATGATGTCTGGTCACATGAACGACACCAGTTTGAACGGAAACTTAGAATCACACATGGATGGATTTTCTAATTTTACTTTAGTAGTAAATCAACAAAACTATAGAAATTTTTATATGAAATATATAACGAACAAGCACGCTACTGAACTCATTTGCGATATCAGTGCTGACCACCAGAGTTCCGATAATAATGGAGAAGTTCCCAATTTTAATGTTATTTGTAAAGTTGACCAAAAGAATTTGAAAGGGAGCGCAATTACTCATTGGAGCGATGGTAATAGTATATCCCTTGAGTTCCATTTTAAACCCGATCAAGTGCATTTCGCAGTAGAATCACCAAACGAAAAGGCCAAAGTTATCAACATAGACGGATCATTAAATATAATGAATAAAGAAATGTATAGTTTGACTGTAAATGGAAACTGGAACGATAATATCATTAATTTTATGGGAAGTTTACAAATAAAGGATAACATACCGAGTATGATATTGCTCAACATGCAATTTGGTGATTTTTTTTATAATATGAACTCATTGATTACTAAAACCAATGATTTGTTTGATATAAATTTTGGTACGCAGTCGTCAGTGAAAGCTTTGCATGGTATTGCTTTAAACCTAAGAGTAGATCAAACACAAACTGAACACATTGCAGTCTCTTTGATCGCGGATGCACCATTGAAGAAGGAATGGAAAACCGAATTATATGTACAATTGCATAATGAACTTTCAAAAAAGAAATTTCAAATAATGGGAATTTGTATGCAACAATTCGTTTCCATATCATCTTCATTATCGACCGAACCAGCGTTTGGAAAATATGTTAGCCAGACTCTTATCGATATACCAATTTTATTCCAAAATCCTATTGCGATTAATATTGATTTGATTGATAGAGGATTTAAACCTGTATCGTGTAAAATTTTTCTTAAGTACATTAACACGTATGAATTAGAAGCCATTCTTAATATGCAAGATAACAAATTATCAGTTACTATCAAAAACAATGCTCTAAAAACAGATTTGTTATTGGATTTACACGGATCATTTAAGAAAAATAAGCTTGAATTCCAAGTTGCTATGATTGAAGATGTGTTCAATGGAAGTTATGTTTTCAAAGATGAATCACTGAATTCAAACTTATTTATTAAATTACCAAATTGGAATTTTATATCGAGCACAGCACTTAATGCAAATCTAAATATGTCCAATGATCAAATTTTTATGGAATTACGTTCAGAAGGGAATAACTATAAATTTAATCATTCTATTAACTACTGGAGAAGTTCAGGAAAACTGCAGATAGAAATAATTACAACTGATCTAAATAGTAATAAACCAAAAAGTTATGTGATGGAAATAAAATTGAAAGGCCCTGAATATAGAACACGTTATGAAGTTTCACACAATAATATATTCCACTTTAAGCTACAAGAACGGTTAAATGCCATATATTTCCAGTACAAAAATAAACTACTATTTAATGCCTCATTTAAAAAGGATGATGGCGTAGTGTTATTGAAGTATGAAAAATCCATTCATAATTGCACTTATACTAAAACATTTGATAATCATCAGATTCGTATGGAATCACCAATCTTACCATCAAAGATAGCTTTAATTAATTTTATAGCAAGAAGTAAGGAAAAGGCTTCGCTTTTAAATATATCCTTAAATTCTGGTAAAATAAATTTAGCTGGTCATCTAAATCTCGAAACAGTTGATAACAGTAAAATATTTTTGCTGGGCATTTCATCAAGCGATGTCAATATATCGCTATCATCTCGATATGAACGCGATCATGATGGTTACAAATTTGATTCTGAAATGAAAATTACGAATAAAATAACTAAGTTTTCGTTTTTGAATAAATACAAAAAAGATCGAGAGATTGAATTGGTTCTCATAAGCGATTATTTGCCAAATAAAGAATTACATCTGGGAGCGTCAGAGCATGATTCAGAATATGTGGCTTATATTCGAAATGGACATTTTGGATTAAATAAGTTTATGAATTTCACATCCAATATTAATTTATTTGAAGGAAGAATAGATGTGTTGGTTTTGGCACCATCATGTTACTACCTGAAAAAATATTACTTAAATATAAAGATTATGTCGGAAATGGATTACTCAGCAGGTGATCTTAAATCTTCAATAACATCTTCTGCATTTGGAGAACACGTGATTTTTGGTAATTTCAATTTAACAAGTGATCAATTTAAGGCCAATTCAGAATTTATATTACATTTTCCAAATGACATCCAGCAAAAGATTTTATCCAAACTAATAGTACCTTTTAAATTAACAAATAATTTTACGCCTATAATTAGCATTAAACATGTCACATTCGACAAAGAATTACTTTTATATGTGACTTACATTAATACACCAGAATTGCTAAATGTAGGCGGAGGGGCTAGAGCTGGTTATTCTAGATTGTTAGGATTTGTAACAGTCAAAACTGATCCTGTACCGTTATTGGAATTATCCTTGGACACGCCTATGGAGAATTTTAAGAAAATTCGTCTACACTTTAATTCTTGCTCACGAGAATTAGGCTGCCGGTCAGTTTCAAACTATTTGATAGTAAATGATCTGAAAATGGAATTGAAATATTCTTTTATTTATATGAAAAATGTAGTTTCTACAGAAATACAACTTTTGACTCCTTTTGAATACTACGATAAATACTTTATTGATTTACAATATATAAATATCGAGAAAAAGGCATTAAAAGCCAAATTTTTTTATCCTGCCCTAGAAGAACCACTCGGATTCGAGTTTACCTATCTTCTCAACGGACTCTTAGAAACATACGTAGTGCTGAATTACGACTTACCTCTAAACCATCAATTAAAACATTTTAGAGCAATTATTCAGAGCGAGTTGTTTAATGGAAGTTATGTTGGACAAGTCTTTTTTGAAAATATTGCATCTAAAATAGGTGTATCAACGAAAAATATGATTTCTAGTTCAGATGTAGAATCGATTTCTGCTATATACTTGTGGAATAAAGAATTAAATGTTTTAGTGTCTATCAGCAATGAATTGTCTAAGCATATTGTTCTGAAGATCGATTCTGTTCACCAAAATAAGATATCACAGTTAATTAATTTTACAGTTCAAGCAAACAAAAATTATGAAATGGCAACAGACCTACACATAAATTCTCGAAGATATATTTCCGCAAAATTAATTATTGACAACAGTTCAGCAATTTTTGAAACTAATAATATATGGAGATCGATGTTGTTATCATACTCTTATATATTAAAATCTAATCACAAAAATATCCACGCCCTTATTTGCTGGGATTTAAGAAATAGAATAAATGCTCAGACTGGTTTCAAATTTGTTATTTCGAGAAACAGTTTTTCAAGTTATGTTGCTATACCGAAATTAAAACTGTCATTTGACTACGATGTCACATCAAATAACGAGATTGATAATAACACAGATAAAAAAACTTCCCTGTCATCTTCTGGTTCAATATTTTGGATCAACCAAACGTTCTTTGGATTTGACACCTCGTACAAAAGTCACTCAAATTTAGACAAATCATACTACATTCAAAATTTCAGTGTATGTATATTATTTCCAAACAAAGCTGTAAAATACTTGAACGACATTAAAATAATCAATACACACGAAATTTTGCTAGAAAATAGAGAAATAGAAGTTCACGATAAGCATATAATATTTTGGGATGCCTTGAATGATTTGCAAAATAATATAACACTTTACTCATTTTCAAATAAAGATCAAATCAAACTGGGCATATTACATCCTAAATTGAACCACAGAATTGAAGCTCGCCTAAAACGAAGTAAGAAATTAGAAAGCATAAAACATCCATCTTCTTTAATGTTTGAGTTGGAATATTCTACAGATCCACGAGATTTATTAGTAATTGATTATTATCATGTAGAAAGTATAGAGAACGAAAAATCGTTTGAATCTGGGTTGGAAATAAGTCATCTTTCCAGTAATATCTTTCATGGTTTTGTTGTTAATGCAACTTTAACGGAAGAAATCACAGAATATTATCTCAATTTAAAATACGATAATCCGCAAGATGATACTCAAAATTTCATCAGATTACTAGGGAGAATTCACAGAAATAAACCGATGATAGAAGGTTTCTTAGAAAATGATTTAAATAAACTTTCAGGAATTTTTTCAACGTGGTCTGAAAACAACACGAGAGGTTTGATCATGCAAGCAGTCTCAAACGAAAACTTACCACTTGTATTTAAAGCAAGTTTAAATTCGGGACAGAATGATCCTTCCATAAATTTCAACATCGTTGCTGGGCCCAGCAAAAGTTATAATATTTTTGGAGCTATACCTTCCAATAAAGAGATCGTAGCTTATTTAGAACATGATTTATATGGATCATTGTCGAAAGATGCTTCTTTTAATCTACGCTTGAATACGACAACTCTGATTTGGACTAAAATTCACTGGAAGACAGGAATATGGAAGGAAATCAGAGATAATATATTGAATGAGTATGATGACTTACAATACATTGTTGAAAATATTGGACAAAGTTTTGTTTGTATGATACCAGATAATGCTGGTGAAAAGTTGTACAGGGATATAAATTCAGTAACTTCTAATCTTACTGCAGACTTTGAAATATCATTTTTGAAACTGTACTACGAATCTTCGATAGGCATATTAAATGATATGTATCAAGAAAACCATTTGTATGCACGAACTATTGCGGACTACATAAATAAAACTGCGTAAGTTCCAACTTTTATCTCTTTTAGGTGTTTTAAGTTTCAAATATGTTCTTTTTTTTAAAGAATAGAAAAGCAATCATTTATTATATTGTAATAATATTATGATTATTATATTATGACATATAATAATTTATTTTTCTATTTTTATAAATAGAAAAATAAATTTATAAATATTTTTAAAAACTAAAAATTTATTAAAGATAATCTATAACTTGCTTTTAAATGTAAAAAACAATATTCTATGGTACGAACAATATAAAAAAAGATTAAAAATAGATTAAAATTTTTCTATTGAAATTGTTTAAAATATGGCTGTGTCTATTTGCAATTGGAAAAAAAATTAAAAGTAATTGTTTAGCCAACTGGTGATTACTAATTCATTTCATAAATTTTTGACTAATCTTTGTACATTCGTATTATTTTTAATTAATAAAACAACTCAAGCATTTTATTTTTTCCGAGGCCTATTTTCCATTTTGTTTTTCTCTTACTTTTACATTTTAAATATATATTTCTATTTAATTTTAGCACAAATATAATTAAATTGCCATCGTTTGGATTTATTACTGACCTAGACAGATGTATAAATATTTTATGGATAAAAATCAAATCGTGTCCTGAGTATTACAATTATCTTCAAACCAAGTTGTTACAAGTACGTGATTCGTCGTTGGAAAAAATTATGGATTTGCACAAGGATATTGCCAGCCTGAAAACATATTTCAAAAATGCTGTAACGCTTAACATAAATAAAATTAAATCGCTACTGTCATCTCTGGGCACTCGTACTACTGGTTTGCTCGACGCATTCGAAGACCTCTGGCGCAGGACAAAGGCGAAAGTTAGAAGCATTTTCGAGCCGACCATCCGAATGCTCCTGAACATCGGGCAAGGGGTGGAGACGACTATTCTTGATGCGAAAACAGAATTTATAAGTAAAGAAAATTAATTAATATATTATATATAATATATATGTATTATATATATATATATAATATATATATATATATATATATATGTTTTATATATATATATATATATATATACTAGCAAACCCGACGAACTTAGTTTCGCCACCAGATGGTCTCGTGAGAAAGATGAAGAAATTTTTTGTTTGTTTTATAATTGATAAGGAAAAATCTGATCTTATACAACACTAATGAATTTATTTCGATTACAAAAATGAAGTGTTTTTTAGTTGAACTTTTCTAAGTAAATGAAAGTGAATCCGCAAATTATCCGTCTCATTGAAGTGCTCTTTGGTAAACCACATTTTTTGTTGTTTGGTCTGACGTTAACACAAACAAAGCGGATGATTTTCCAACTCGTGAACAGGCAACGTATAACTGCCCATGTGCAAAACAATGATTTTTTAAATAATCTATTTGAAATTTATCCCGCAAACACTAAGCGATTGGCCTTGCGACTTGTTATTGCGAACGCAAGGCAAACTGGAAATTGCAATCGTTTGAAGTCAAACGGAAGACCAGTCGGAATCATTGGTATGTCACCATATCGCCAGCAATTTTTGACTGAACGGTGAAATTCAGTGCGTGTACATCATTATTCTTTGCGGCAAGAATTGCTCGTTGACTTAACCAAGCATAATTCTGATAATTCTCACTAATGTCATTACTCGAATTTTTAACTACGGTGCATGAAGTTCCAGCAATTTGCAGTAGGGCACGATGCCATGCACCACTTTTCTTAGCTATAAACCTTGCGGAACCCGAGACCTTTCCAACGAATGCAAAATTGTCGAAATCGGTTCGTGCGTTCTGGAGTTATTTCGTCAGGAAGAAAAACCTGACTTATTTTTATATATATAGAAGATATATATATATATATATATATATATATATATATATATTATATATATATATATATATTATGTATATTATATATAAATAATATATTAAGACATAAGCTATTACTTTAGTTAGGGATAATTTTGTCATAATATATCAAAAACACAGGTCCATAAAAAAGTTGTTTGTATTGGTGTGTGCGGCATATGTTTTCTACTGTAGTTTTTAACGCTGAACACGAATCTAAATTCAAAATTAGTAGTCAAATGGCAAAAAATTGAAAAAAACATAAAATATGACAAAATCTCCATTATAGCAATTCTTCTCCATGATAAATAAAATTTTATAATTGTTGTCATTTTCTGGTCCTCTTTACCTTAAATGACCTTATTGAGTTTCAATTAAATGATCTACTACAGTTTTTCCCAACGTGGGGCGCACGCCCCACCGGGGGGCAATTTGAAAATTTTAGTGATTTTAATGTAATGTAGTATAGCATCGGTAAAACATTTAACAAAAAAAAATGATTCTTAGATTTAGAATAATAAGGTGTCCCGGTTTGGCCGCGACGGTTTTAGTTTTCAACCTTGCTTTCCTTGTGCCGGAGTTATGTTCTTCCTGTTGACTTGACTTTTTCTCATTACTTTATAATAAAATTACAACTACCCATTATAATCTGAAAATGATATATGCCATAAACTTTATATAAATCTGAAAACAACAATATGAAAGAGAATATTGCGGGATGCAACAATTCTTTGGGTTCCAGTAGCCCTTCACTAATTATTTTAAACTTCTATATTCCAATTTACGAAAATTACCAAAAAATATGTAAATCGAGTTTCTGACTGCTTGGCATAAATGCTTTAAGGTCAGTGACAAGACTCGACTTGAAATATGCACAAGAAAAGTAAATATGATGTGAGTTTTTTACTCACTGTCAGTAACTTTGGCTAAAGATGGAATTAATTTAAAATAAACTAATTTTTATTGTATCCTTAAATAGTACAAGGTTGACACTAAGCTACTTTTATTGTTAGATTGCTTCAAATGATTCTTTAGGATTGTTGAGGTTTAGGTAGTAATGTATAGTAAGAAATTTAGCTTTAACTTTTTGATCGGTTATATAGAGTGTTTGTTGAAAGATGGAATATCAAAACAAACATTTTAGTCAAATTTTGAATTTTTATTTCTGCAAATGGTTAAACGATCATCCCAAAGAATAGGTGCTGTTTATGGTGTCGAAGCCTTAAAAAACAGCTATGTTAAAATTGGTTTTGAAAATGTCATTCTGGTAATTTTCCACTCAATGCTGCTCTGATTGTCAGGTTAAAGTTTTGGACAAACTAATTAAAGCAATAATCGATTGGGCTAATAGAAACAATTTGGCTATTTTTAAAAATTATTGGGGGTTGGTGAAAAATTTTCTCCACATCCACCAAATATTCCTGACCACAAACCATCTGTTTTAAAACCCTTGAATTTAAAAAAAAAATCATGATGGTGTCAAATTGTGTCTAATTTAGTTTTTTCTAATAAAAGCTAGAAGTTTCATAAACTTGGGATAATGATACTTCTTGGAAAATAACAAAAGGCCATCGATCAAACTGATATACATAACAAAGTTATTTAATTCCACGCAAAAATTGTATTTGATTTTCTAACTAAAATGCGCACTTACTTAGTTGCCAACGATAACTATCAATTTCTAGAAAAATATGCGCATTTACTTAGTTTCCAATCTGATAACTAAAAAAGATTTAACAAAAAATATATAAAATTAAGATACAATTCCGTTCTGAGTTAAGAAAATGTCAAGTAGATTCGTTAAGAAATGGCCTTATGAAGAAACTGAAACCAAATGCCCAAATGTTATCATATGTACAAAAATTTGCTATAATTTATTGAAAAAAAGCTTAGATTAGAACCTAATATAAAATCTCTGTTTTAGCTTAAGTATTCCATTAAATAAATATCGAAAAAACAGTAATAAAATTAGTTTGGAATTTCCGTAAGTTGGCTTATTCCGAAATTTTACTTATGATGTTTAATAACAATTTAATAACGATTTCATCTTAAACGTTATCATTCACATTTTTTCTGGGAGAAAAAAAATTGTATGGGGGGGCATAACGTTTTATAAACCTCAACATGGGGCGGGGCCCAAAAAAGGTTGGGAATCACTGATCTACTAAGTTCTTATAAGACTTTAATTATCATGTAAAAGAGCTGCTAGATCGCAGGCTTTGTCGTTTTTCTCTTCTTTTCTAATTTTTTGCTATTTGACCTACAATTTTGGCTTTAGATTTGTGTTCAGCGGTAAAAACTACATTGGAAAACATATGCCTCATATCCAACACGTACCATTTTTTGTGGTCCTGTGTAATTAACCCTTATCGGTCGGAAAACAATACTTTGACGCTGCGGTCGTAAGTCACATAGTAAGTGACAACGACCAAACCAAGCTTTATTAAGAAAAAGGGAAATAAAAAAATTTTCGATGGTGATGATAGCTAGGAAAATTTCGAAAACTGTATAAAAAATAAGTATAATATATGTAAAAAAGTATCTAATACATTTTTTTAATTAAAAGAGATTTCGCATATTTTCCGAGACCAGCTACGACCTAACGGGAATTACGTATGAGAAGCTAGCGACCGCTAAGGGTTAATTGTGTATGACATTGTGCCCCAAGATAAACCACTTTAACTTTCTAGTTTAGATTAATAAAATTATTGTTTTTGCGAAAGCAAACCCATAGTGTAAGACAACCCTCGTTTTTATCTTTTTAACATCCCGAAGGAGAAGTTTATATTTTCGCTAGAAACTTCAATTTACTGAATTTTACGATTTTTCGGCAAAAGTATACATATGTATGTGCGTTAACGATTGCATTTGTATGTGAGAAAATTATGCTTCTCGGCAACGTTTTCTCAAAAGCGGTGCAACAATTTTAAAAGCTATTTGGTGAAACTGCATAAGATTTCTCGTTGTATTTTTTTAGTATTAATCAAATAATTTTAGTATTAGTGAAATATTTTTCGTCCAGGTTTTTGTCACAAATTCTGAACCGATTTGGAAAACTTTTAATCTTTTTGAAAGATGTCAGCTGGGAATCGTAGTTAGTTGTTGAAATAATTGAGGATTGAAACTTAGTATGATAAAAGACCTTATGGTCCTAATAACGAAGTAGTTTAATCATAAAAATTTATTAAAGTTTGCAATAGTTTTTGTCGTCACAAAGTTTGAATAGCTGAATCTCAATTCTTATTAATTAAGTCGATTATTTTTAAATACCGAAAAGATTTTCAAGTTTTCTTTTGATTTTAAATTTTTAATCTTTGTATCTTGATATATTTTAAGACGGTTATTTATTAGTATATAATAAATAAAAAGTAACAATGTTTATTCCCTTGTTAACTTCCCGTAGGGTAAGTTATTGTAATGGGCCGAAAATCGGAATTGAAAATTTTTACATTTCTCGACGTTTTGAAGGTTTCTGAACGTTTTGGCATACCTCAGAAAAAATGGATGTGTGTGTGTGTGTGTGTGTGTGTGTGTGTATGTATGTATGGATACAAATTTTCGCCCACGTTTTCGGGCGTACGGATCAACCGATTTGAATGGTTCAAAAAACATTCGATTCCTATTGATAGGGAAAAGAGCTGTTTAGTTTTTGGCAAAGGCGGGTCCAGCCGTTTCGGAGATACGGAACAAAGAGTGCAGAAAATAAAAATCGAATTTTTGAGAGAACGGAGTATCCGATTTGAATGATCTAAAAAACATTCAATTAGTAATGATTGGGAGAAGTGTTTACTAGTTTTTGGCAAAAGCAGGCCCAGCCATTTTGAAGATACGGAGCTAAATATGTAAAAAATGGCAATTTCTGAGAGAACTAAGCGTCCGATTTAAATGATTCAAAGAACTTTCTGTTTGTCTTAACAAAATAATTGATTTTGGAAAAAAAAATTTTGTTCCAATTTTTTTTTTTTTTTCAGTTTTTTGTATATCGAAAATATTTCAGATTTTATTTTTAATTCTGACTATAGTGCTAATATACTTTACAAATAATTTCAACTCTGCAATTCAGATTATATAATTCTTATAAATATTTGACAATGTTACAATATTTATAATAATCTATTTGAAAACATTCAGTATTCCACGAACATTTCGTTACGGTACGGGAAGTTCCAGCAATTTGCCTTAAGGCACGATGCCATAATTGCCTCAAGACAGAATTCCACTTACAGCTAGTTTAAAAATATATTTATTGTAATTTTATATGAAAACTTGTATAATTAATTAATTGTGAGAAGAAACATTACAATTTTATAAGTCAAATTGTTTTATAGCTGTTGAGAACTTTAACTATTATTATTTATTTATTTTAAACCCATTTGTTTTGAATATTAAAATATCACAAACTTCCAAAAACAAATCTTCCGAAAACGAACAAATACTCCATTGTTATACCAAGTAAAACGCCTAATTTTAATTTTAACAAATGTCAAAAAAACTACTTATATTTTCCCAAACTTTGATGAATTTTTAAAATTAAACTACTTGTCGTAAGGCCGTAATATTTCAGTACGTTCTATAAGGCCAGGATATATTTTGCCAAAAAAAGTTCCATAAAAATCGGCATAATTTTTTTTTCAACAGTTAATCATGAGAAAATGGCTCGATAGATTTTCAACTAAAACTAATCAGTATCATTCCCAAATTATATGTTTCGAACAGTTTTTCATTTTTGAAAATCGATTCGATAGTATGAACTTAAATGTGGACGAAAAGTTTAACACTTTTTTCCAAATTACAAAGAAATAGCTTGGCCGATTGCTGCACAAAACTGAGGAAAAATAATCCACATCAAAATACATCGATTGGCTTTTAAATTTTTGAAATCGGTTCAGGCGTTTTTAAGTAATCGTCGAAGAATATTATTATTTTGACAAACGCCAACAAAACGACACTAATTTTTGAAAACTTTGACTATTTTTTAAAATTAAACGACTTGTCTTAGGACCGTAATATTCTAGTATGATCTATAAGACTATGGTATCTACCGTCAAAAAAAATCATGAAAATCGTCGAAAAAAATTTCTTTAACACCTTATTACAAGAAAACGGCCCGACCGATCTTTACCAAAAACTAATCAGGTCGATTCCCAACCAATATGTTTCGAACAATTTTTAAATTTTCAAAATCGATTCAGAATTGCGGGCTAAAACGTGTACGAAAATTTTTTTACTTGTCTGCGATTTACAAAGAAACGGCTCGGCCGATCGTCGCACAAATCTTGGAAACGCTAGTCCTCATCGAGATACATTGAATGGCTTTTAAATTTTTGAAATCGGTCTGGCCGTTTTTGAGAAAACTTCGATTTACGGCAAAAAATCTTTTCACACACACACATACTTTTTCCAAATTTGGTCTCTTTCGATTCAGAATGGCTTGAAACGTCGAGAAAACATAAAATTAGCTATTCGGATTTTTTGATGAAAACATAAACTTCTACTTCGGGAAGTTAATAACCGATAAGTTGAAACGTATTTTATAATTACAATATTCAATATACAAATTATATAATTACACAAACACATGGATTTAAATTAAAACTAGCTGTAAGTGGAATTCTGTCTTGAGGCAATTATGGCATCGTGCCTTAAGGCAAATTGCTGGAACTTCCCGTACCGTAACGAAATGTTCGAGGAATACTGAATGTTTTCAAATAGATTATTTTGAATATTGTAACATTGTCTAATATTTATAAGAATTATATAAACTGAATTGCAGAGTTGAAATTATTTGTAAAGTATATTAGAACTATAGTCAGAATTTAAAATAAAATCTGAAATATTTTCGATATACAAAAAACTAAAAAAAAAAAAAAAAAATTGGAACAAATTTTTTTTTTCCAAAATCAATTATTTTGTTAAGACAAGCAGAAAGTTCTTTGAATCATTTAAATCGGACGCTTAGTTCTCTCAAAAACTGCCATTTTTTACATATTTAGCTCCGTATCTTCAAAATGGCTGGGCCTGCCTTTGCCAAAAACTAATAAACACTTCTCCCAATCATTACTAATTGAATGTTTTTTAGATCATTCAAATCGGATACTCCGTTCTCTCAAAAATTCGATTTCTATTTTCTGCACTCTTTGCTCCGTATCTCCGAAACGGCTGGACCTGCCTTTTCCAAAAACTAATCAGCTCTTTTCCCTATCAATAGGAATCGAATGTTTTTTGAACCATTCAAATCGGTTGATCCGTGCGCCCTAAAACGTGACTGGAAATTTGTATCCATACATACATACATACACACACACACACGCACACATCCATTTTTTCTGAGGTATGCCAAAATGTTCAGAAACCTTCAAAACGCCGAGAAATGTAAAAATTTTCAATTTCGATTTGCGGCCCATTACAATAACTTACCCTACGGGAAGTTAAAAAATTAAGATAAAAATATGCTTTTGACGTGAGTTGCTGTTACATTCTGTTACGTGAAAATTGAGTTTATTTTCATCTGATTAATTAAACATATTTTAAAATATAACTGCCGTATATCTGTATACTTTTTATTTATTACTATTAATTATTTATTATTACAGATTGGTTGCAAGAAGTTCAAAATTATATTTACTCAATACAAGAGTTGCGAATACTAATCGATACAATTGTAGATGCCACGAGTTATATCAAAAACCACTTTTCTCAATATGATGTGCAATCAACCCTAGATTATTTGACTGAAATATGTGATATTGTCACGGCTGATTTCCAGGTTATATAATAATCATAATAATAAATAAATCTAATGATAAAGTGTCTATTAATTAAATAACCATGACGAATGAATATTAAAATTTATGTTAATTTTTTTATACGTTAAAATTTATTTTATCTCTGTTTATTATTTATTTTAAATTTTAGAGACTGTTAGATTTATATTCAAGCTATTGCAACGTTGCTGTAGAAGCTATAATAGGAGAAACTCCATACCAGTATAATAGAACCGAGATGCATTTGTTACAGAATGAAACGAATATGGTTATACAAAAGGTATAAATTTAATGAATTAATTAAGTCTTACATTGCTATTTTTATAATTAATTTTGCAGATAATATGGACCTGGAACTACTATAATATACCAGAACGTGTAAAAGGCTCATTAAAATACCTAAAAGACGACATGATTTCTATATTAAATTTATCATACAATTTTCTCACGGTAGAACTTTTACACCTTTTCGAATATGAACAAATGATCCAGTTTCGTCAAATCGCCGCATTCAATTGCCACGGTTTTCGAAACACAATATTTCGTCCAGACAAGGGGCATATTGAATTATTTCAATATCTCCCATTTGAATGGGAAGGTTTTAATGTTACACCACAATTTTACCTACCAACAACATTCAGAGAAAGTTTACAACGTTTAAGAAGAGGCGAAAGACCCAATTTTAATACCGAAGCTTATTGGCCATGGTTATATTCAAGATTTGAATCTCATGCTGATTTGTTACGAGTTCCTCCACCAATGTATGCCCTTCTGGTGGGATCCTCCAGTTACATAACTTTCCAGGGAGAATATCTTGAAATTCTTAATTCTTGCAAATATCTTGTTTTAGCGGATTCCATTGACGATAACTTCGCTATTTTCGTAGAGCATTCACTGAAAAATAATAAGGTAAATATAATAAATGTAAAAGGCTGCTTGAAAAGTAATTTTATTTTCAACAGTTTAGGGTAAAAATTATTGGAATGATTATGAACCGTTTCGGGCGTTTAATGTATCGGTTAATTTTTGCTACGCCTTACAACATGTAATTATTACGAATTAAGTATACAGTTGGATTAAATATGTATATTTTGTCAGAAAAAAAATAAATAACTTTTTGACCAAATTAATATTTTAATATATTTGATAAGAGAATACTAAAAGAGAAATGAGAAAATAAACATAATCAATAAAAAGGATATATATTTTATTGCAGATCGTGAAGGATTCAGTACAAGTTGTAGTAAATGGAAATACAATAAAACTTGAAATTAATGGCCAAATCTCCGTAAATAAGATTCCACGAAGCCTACCATACCTAATGGATGACGTGCTAACTATACATCGAGATCATTCAATCTTAAAATTACAATATAGAAATCGTTATTTTATGGACTGGCATCTTACGACTGACGTTACTGTATTCACATCAAAACAATGGTCAAGAGGAAACACCATTGGACTATTGGGCAAAGAAGAAGACGAATCTAGGGATGTTTTCATTGAGAATAATTACAATAAGACAATGCAGAGTACGTCCATTTGGAACAACAGATGGCATAAATGCAGCACGGACGTGACTAATAATTCAGTGACCAGTGATACCAAGAATATTGAAATCGTAACAAACACTACGGCATGTTATGAAATTCTACAGTCACAAGATTCGAGTTTGGCCAAATGTTATGGTATTGTGGACCCTAAACCATATTATAGCATGTGCTTGAATAATCAAGATGTTTGTGCGTCGGCTCAAGCGTACAAAACAATATGCGAAATATCTGGAGACAAAGGACTATCATTGGAAAAATATGGTATAATTGATACTTTTTGTGGTTTAACTTATTATCATTAATTAATCTGAGTATTAGTAAGTTCTCAATTAATAAAATAAAGCTTAAAAAATAGATTCTATATGTATAAACTAGCAAAAAAACTTAAAAATTTAATAGTTCTAATCTTATTTCCTATCACGTTTTTAATTTATTTGGATTATGATAGATCTATATACGTACATACACATACATGCATGCATCATATGTACCAATATTAATTTACAAATTTAAATATACTTTATATTTTATTTCGTCTTCGTAACGGAAAATCGGAAATACATGTTTATTGGTAGAATGACGTTTATTGTAGATTTCTTTCGATTCTGAACTATTTCTTTGCTATTCCATTTAATTTTATATTCAGTGAATTTTTATTGAGCCGAAGTCAGATTTAAATATCCGAATAAATGAAATATAAAATGAAATGAAATATTTCACTTTATAATAGAATATAATAACTCTTTCGAAATAACTATATAATTATATACAATCTTCTTTATAATATATATTTTTTTTGATATTTTGTAGAATCTTGTCGATGGAAAACTGGGGAAATGCTGTCAGACTCCCTAACAGCAGTAAACGCTGCTGATGTAGTTTTCTTAGTTGAAGAAGTCAATTCATTATCGGTAAATATATTTCTTAAGATTCATTGTTATATTTTTCCTATTTTACGCCGCTAATATTGTAAATTTTTTCGGTCATATCATATACGGCACTTTATTATTTCTAAAAGATAAAGCAGCAAGTTAGTTATCTGGAAATTAATTTTTACAACACCTGTCAGGTTTATTTTTACGCACACGCTTATATAAATATATATATATATATATATATATATATATATATATATATATATATATATATATAGTGATATAAGCCTATTTTTAACTGTAAAAAAGTTAATAATAAATATTCAGAGTGAAAATACACGTTAAGTACATTTATCAATTAATTTTAAATTGAAAAAAAGTAAGCTATAAGAAAATGTATAATTATCAAGATTTGGCAACAATTTTATAAGGTTTAATCGTACATATCCCGCCTAATGAAGTCGAGTCTACTTTCTTTTAATTTGGAGATCGATAATAACGCTAAAAATCGTTTCCACCAAATATTACGATTCGATATACGAATATTAGCTTTATGTTATAGATAGTATGAACTAAGAAAATAGATACCGAAAATTTCAGTACACTCATGTATATAAACATTTTTTATAGGATATATCAGGAATTACATTTTTTCTGATTTCATTTATTTCACCACGATCTCATTTACAACCATAGTGGTGTTCAACGTCGTTCCGATACTTTCTTTTTAGACAGAAACGCTTACCGAAATGATTTGTGATAACGTGATTAGCTGACGTATTGATTTTTTTTTTTAATTTTTGACCAATTTTTATATGTATTATTATAAACAAATCGGAACGAACCGGCTTTTTCCGAACCGTGAATGGAAGTCCGGAACGTTTTTTTAGCCGAACCAAAACGCGCTCCGGTGAAAAAATTATTAGAACAACACCACTGCTTAAAACTGTATATAAGTTTACTACGGAATTTGTGTGATTTGTTAAAAAAATATTGCTTTAAGCCTAATCTGTAATAATAATTCATTTTTCGTTGCTTATTTTTAGTTTGTTGACTTATCCCAACTTCTTTTGGATCTGGAGAAGGCGTTGCTTAACAAAGGAATTGGTTTAGACGACCTGTTAACTTTGAAAAACCTTGATTCTACTGTCAATCGATACGCAATTGTCGGCTGGGGAGGCGATATGGGATTGAAAGACCCTTACACACGGACCTCTTTGGCCTATGTTTGGAACAGTGCACAAACAGCCGCCGAATTACTCACGAAGTAATAAATTGATGATATAAAAAATGCATAATGAATCATAGGTTTATGTTTTAAAATATATGTTTGTTTATTTCGCGAATCTATTTTCAGAATCTCCTATGGGGACACCAAAGACATAACAAGAATAAATATTGTACGCGTCTTAGAGTACGCTTCGGGACTACAGTTTAGAAAAGGCGCTTCTAAAATCTTGGTCCTTTTGCAAGGTCAGGAGTGTCAAGGCCAAGAAAAATATGATGATATTGCAGGTAATTTATACGTACATGTAATATTAGGTTTCACATTTTTAACTTCCCTTAGGTTGGTTAAGCTATAGTAATCACAAAAAATAGAAAATGAAAATTTTTACTCGTCTTTACGTTTCTAATGATATAGCATACTGATATATCCCACATGATTTAGTGGCCGGGATACCTGGCTTTCACCCAGGAGACTCGGGTTCGATTCCCGGTATGAGAATTTTTTTTAATTTTTGGGCCAGCGGTGGCGATATCGGTTAGAGTGGGCTGGCTGCAACTAGTCCCGGGTTCGCTGGTTTGATTCCCGCTACCGCCGTAGCCCGTCATCAGGCAGCTTTGATGTCAAATTTCCGCTTGGGGTTATAAATCACAATATAATTCCAAGTGGAAATCGTCCTTCGTGGACATAGCTGTAACATCCAATCATATGCTAACTATTAGGCGTAAGAGCTAATATCAAAAATACCCCACACATAATAAGAGAATGGTTAATCGATGGATTGTCTTTCATAAAATACATAAGTAGTCGTAAGTCCTTAACAAACAGCTTATAGAACATATAAGAGTTCTGATTGCTGTTCAAACAATACAAAAAATCTTGCTTTTGCTGTTCAAACAATAAAAAAAAATCTTTACGTTTCTGAACATTTTGGCATAACTTAGAAACAAATGTATGCATGTGTGCATGTGTGTGTGTGTTCGGATACAAATTTTTGTCGACGAATTCAGGAACACGGATCATCCGGTTTAAATAATTTAAAAAATCGATTCAATAAGGAGACGTGCTGATTAGATTTTGCCAATAGCAGGTCGGGGCAATAAAATACGGGGCAAAAAGTTCCAAAAATGGTTATTCAGTGTTTGAGATGACGGAGCGTCCGATTTGAATAATTCAAACACGTTTTATTTGTATTGACTGACGAAATGAAGAACTAATTGAAGATATGTTTGGGAAGGAAGGTCCAGCGATTACGGTCCAATAAAAAAAGTTAAAAAAAAAAACGCCGTTTGGCGGTCAAAAATGATCATTAGACATATTAGATTTTAATTATTAGTACAAAAACTTTTCTATAGGTTCCGTGCCAATGTTTATCTGTGTATATTTTGTTTTTCTTTGTTTGAAACGATTTTTATGTTAGCATTGTTACAAAAATGCGTCGACCTAATTAATTTATATCAGGAATAAATTTGAAAGTAAATAAACATCATTTAAGCATTTTTAAGAAACAGTAAACGATAATGATGATTCTGTTAATAAATAATATATTTTCATACTTAAATTCAAAATTATTTCCATTGGTTATCTTATGCCCGCAGAATTGTTCAGAATAATAAATGCTAATTATTTTGTTTAGTATTAGCATAAAGCATTATAAGACGTTTGATAAAAAATAAACTATCATTAATACAAATCCAAGGAAACTAAATAATTAATATTAGATAGTGAGTTTTATTACTTATTAAATAAAAAATAACCAAAATTTAATTGGAAATTGCTAATCAACTCAAATGTATTACAGATTAGAGCTATTGTTTTATATTTCAAGATCATGTTTCTTACGCGCTTATCGTTAAACATAATAACCTTGTATATATCTTCTTCATTACAAACCGATAAAGAAAGCAATAATTCCATCGCCCAAAAAACCATCGTCAAATGCAATTCGCAGAAAACATGTCGAAAAAAATATAAATTTAAAATAAATTTGCTTCAGAATATATATAAAATATATATCATTATTAATTATTTTAATATATGTAACCTGTATAAGAAATTTATAAGTAAAAGAGTCATATGAAAATTTATAATAAAATTTGTAATATGCTATTTAATCATTTTCATTTATTAGTTGATTAAAATGGTTATCAATAGTGTTGACTCTTCTTTAGATTAAAATTCAAGTACAGTAGTTTTTAATATTATGAATGTTAAATTTAAATAATTTAACATTTCAGTTTTAGTTTATAAATTAGTGGTGCATGGAATTGTGCCTTAACGCAAATTGCTGGAACTTCACGCACCGCAATTAAACATTCGAGGAATAAAAATAATCAATAATCAACGAAAAATAATCAAAGATTAATAGCAATTGTTTCTAATATTTACAAATAGATTATTATAGAATATACTTTTTTAATAAAATAAATGATTAATATTGACTTTATCGTGTTTTTTTTTATTAACTTTCAAAATAGCAATCACAACGGGTTACAATTCTATAAGCTATTGTGATGTATGTAACTCAAATACAGTATTTGAGTTCAAAATAAAAATATAAATAATTATATGTAACAATAAAATTGTTTAGAAAACTCCCCAGTGGGAGTTTCTAAAATGATCATTCAAATTAAGTCAGCTGGTTGCTTATCGTGGTTTTTGATGAGATAAGTTCCTCTGATGTCTTCGTTCTTTCTCGGCTCGGTTTACATTACTTGTAATCTTGTAAACATATACTTAATTTGTTTGTAGTTTGTAGTTATACTTAATTTGTACTTTTGTAGCCCAATTTGATAAGAACTTATAAATATACAATATTTATAATAATCTATTTAAAAATATAATAAATAATTTTCATCTTGAAATTGTTTATAAACAATTAAAGAAGATTTTGTATTTACTTTCTTTTTTTTCTTTTTTCGACTTTGTGGAGAAAAACTTTAATAACAAATAATTTTTATTAATCATGAATCAATTTTTATTTTTAAGGATTATTTCTATCCATCAAATGTTTAGTTACGATATGTTATAGCAATTTGCCTTAAGACACAATGATCTGCACCCATTATTAAACCATTCTGTGTTCTCGTCATATACATCCATTTTTATGCCAAAATGTTCACAAACCTTCGGAACTTATTTATATCGGATATGCAAAAATTTTAATTTTCGATATGTTTGCGATTACTATAAAATACGGAATATTGATTGTTAGAAATTTCCTCTCAATTTAATGTATATGCTGTACCCTAGGTATCTTGAACAGTAAAGACTTCACTCTACATATACTTGAGCCGGATTCTATAAAACCAAAAACAATCGACCCGAAACCTACAAAAGTGTTTGGCGTCGATATGAATGGCGGTTATACTGCAAGGCATCAAGAGGGTGCACTCCCAGATCCTAAATTATTAAGCAAGGTAACTATTTTAAGTGCTCATTTTTTACGCTAGTATTATCTCAAGCTTTTTTAAATTGTCACAATATTACCGTGGTCATCCCTTACTCCGAAGCAATATTATGAATTTTATTATTATTTCAGATTTCCATACCACGCGATCAGTGTACCCCTGCGACTTTCGAGTCCGGTGGTTCGCTTTTCAACCTGGATCGCGCAGAGGATGCCCGCTTTGCGCCCGTGTGGGCTCAGCGAGTGGCGTTGTCCGCCAAGAAACATGTGCCGGAACAAGACGATTGCAACGGGCAGGAACATAGCGGTTGCAAATCAAATAAAATAGTAAAGATTGGACAGGGTAGACAAGATTTTAAGGTGAATTACTGAAAAGTGGAGAATCAATGATTTGAACTTTTACTTTTTCAGAACATTATTGATATTTCATATTTAGGGAATAGTGCATCATTATTTATATTATGCTGTCAGCTAATAAACGTATTGAGAAATGTTGTAGATTGTCATGATAACTTAAATAAATTTAACATCAGTTTTTTAACTTATGCACTTCTTGAAATAAATAATTTTTTGGCAAGATTTTCAGTTATTAATTGCAAATATCATTTGTACATTATTACATTATTAACTTGTATTAAAATATGTAATTAAAATATAATTTTAAGCTTTGATGAAATAAATAGATATAAATAATGATTCATACGGCACTAGTCAGGGCCGGATTTAGAAATTTGGCGCCCTGGGGCACTGACAAAAATGCCGCCCCATCCCTGAAATTTTACTTAAATAGTTTTTATATTTCTTTAAAATTAAAATAACTATTTGATTGCAGAAAACGTGCTGCAACTTCCCGTACCGAAAATTAAAAAAAAATTTTTTTGAAAACTTTGAAAAAAAATGACTTTTTTGAAAATTTTGTGTTTCTTTATATTTTAAAATATGTTAAAAATTTTGAACTTTTTTAAGCAATCGCGCTGCTACAGCTGCGTAGACACAAAATATAGAAGCGTGTAAGCGCCGCAGTCTAACGGATAAACAATGTTACAGAACCCATAGAAATGTATACAAAATTTATACTTATCATAAAAATATCTATAAAATATCTGATGATTTAAAGTGCATATGTCTAATAATCACTTTTAACCGCCAAATTCCAATTTTTTTTATTGAATCACCGAAACCGCTAGACCTTCCTCTCACAAATTTGAGCAGTTCTTCATTTTGTCAATACGTGTACATTTGGTTAATGATATTGAACGCTCCGTTTCTCAAAAACTGAATTATCATTTTTGGAATTCTGGCCCGTATCTTCGAAACAGTTGGACCTGCCTTGGCCAATAACTAATCAACACGTCTTCTTATCAATTGGAATCGAATCAATCATAGGATCAAATCGGTTGATCCGTGTTCTCGAAATCGACTTGAATAATTAAAAAAATATTATATTTGTATTGATGGGGAGACGTGCTGATTAGTTTTGGCACAGGCAGGACCAGCCGTTTCGAAAAATGGTAATTGAGTTTTGATATTTTGTCTCTGAAACACCTATGCAGCGCTTTGATTTGATTGCTTTGAAAAAGGTTCATAATTTTCAAAAAAATCAAAATATAAAAAAAAAAGTTTTTTACCGTCATTTTTTTACATTTTTCAAAAAATGTTAAAGCTTTTTATAGAATGTAATTTTCAGTACGGAAAGTTCCATTGCCTTAAGGCACAATGCCATGCGTCACTAATTTTTTGGGCGCTATAAGTTTGGAAGTGCACGAATTCTTCAGCTTAAGAGGGTTCGAGATCTGAGGAACATATTTTACCTAAACTTTCAGCTCGTTTACGAATTTTCATATTAATCAAATTGCCAAATTTGATAATGACTTATTAACCAATTTGATAATTTACGTTCGGAGAGCAATAATAAATTTTAATAATCGGTTATTTGAACCCAAGTTTTGCATTGCAATCGTATTATATTTTGTTAGAAATAAAAAAATGTTATTTAAACAATTAGTAACTGCATTGTATAGAATTTTTTTCTTTGCTATCCAAATTTTGCCGCCCCCGAAAATTTTCCGCCCTGGGCAGTAGCCCCGACTGCCCCTAGTGTAAATCCAGCACTGGCACTAGTAGAGGTTTTACTATAAAATATAAATTTATTAACTTGCCGTAGGGTAAGTTAATGTTAAAGGTCGAAAAATCAAGTTTGAAATTTTTGCATATCGTTATTTCATTACGGCGCGGGAGGTTCCAGCAATTTGCTTTAAGGCACGATGCCATACACCACTAGTTTATATTGTAATTGCTACGAATATGTCTCACCTGAGCAGGTCCAGACGAGACTATAATGACGTGAATGTTACAAATAGCGTACAAAATTATTGATTGTTTTACTGCTACGCCCATTACGCATTGCATTACATTACCTTTTAAAATATACGAATATTATAATTAATAAACATTCAAAAATACTATACATAAAAATGCTATACGTAAACAATCAATGAAATATATTATTGCAATGTATGTTCATAGGCATTTGATTATGAGTTAACTTAATGTATAATTAGGAGAACAAACAGAATTTGCGGTTATTAATTCCTGTTGACAAAAAGAAAACAATGAATAATTAAAGCTGTTTGGTTTAAATGATTGTTCGCATTGTTTTGTAGCAATACAGCGTTCTGAATATATTTTAATATTTACAGTTATCAAGACGATTGTTCACATTGTCTTTCATTTTTCATAACGAATAGTTTTGCATACATATCGTGATTTAAGATTATTTGAAAAATATTAACTATATTTTACAATATTAACTAAATTTATATTATTTTATATATTGCATATGCCATAAATCAAATTCAAAAAATAGTATTACGTTGCATAAATTTATTGATGTTTGGAATTTATTATTGAACGAATTTATTAGCATGAATTTAAAACACAAATAATGAATATTATTTACATTATTTTCCTTATCTATGATTATTTAATTTATTTGTGGAATCTGATTATGAGTGACGCTTAATAAAGTTTAAAGATTTTGTTGAGCTTACAATTAGTACCAATGCAAGATTCGAAACTTTGACGAAGATTGCATTTTGATATATATGAAAATCTTTGTTTAGACAATAGATATAAGCATATTGTATGTCATCCATTTATAATCATTTGAAATAACCTTTGACAAAAACGAGAGAGGACAGAAGCGTGGTAATTACAATGCAGTTTTTTTATATATAAAAAATCGTTTTTATGCGCTAACACAGCGTTCGTAACCGATGAAAATAGTGGTAACCGCCGCAATGTTACCATGCGCACGAACAATCTGTTGAAAATTCTAAAGCTCTTTGCACACCTTATGGTTTTACATATTTTGCGTCAACAATATTATTCACGATTTGTTTGCGGACAATAAATAATCTTGTCTTTGCAACGAGCGTGGAGTTTTAATGTAATATAAGGAAAATTATATATATTTTAAAAAAATTGTGTTTACATACATCTTTTTTACGCACATTTTGGCTTTGTTCTTAGGCAGTGGAGGCGGAAGATGTGGTCAATGAACTGGATGCTGTAAATGATATCTCCGTAGAATATGAAGATGAGTCTTTCATATAAATGTGTAGTTACTACGCATATATACTAGTTTAAATACGTAATAATATAATATAAATTATATTCAATTATATTGAATTTTATACCAGTGAATTATTATATAATTATAATTAAAGTATGAAATATATAAATAAATAAATTTATTGCGCGTTTTAAATTAATATGTTATTCTGTAATCACAAATATAATTTGTTATTTATTGTTTTTGTCAGAGCACTACGTGCTATTTGAAGGTTTTCCGAAGTTCTTCCGGCCTTGCTGTTAGATTTTGGAATCACGTTTTGTATTCAATTATTTAGTATATAAAGAAGTAGTTAAGATTTAGTTAGTCAGTCAGAAGTGAGGACTCAACTCAGAAGTCAGGAGTCAAGTCAGGCTTACTGTTGAGATACTTAAAAAATGTAGTCTCTGATTATAGATAACCAAAAGGTTATCAAACACATTATTTAATTGTAAAAATAGTAATCAATAAAATATCAAGATCAACCAAGAACCAGTGTTTCTATATTATCATCCGCTCTGCTACAGCAACCAAATAACCTCCCATAATCACAGGAGTGATACAACAATCACACAAATACAGTTCAATGTATTTGTGTGTATGTGTTAATTAACTTTTCTTATGGTAAGTTATAGTAATCGCAAAAAATCGAAAATGAAAATTTTTATATATCTAACGTTTCTAAGGTTTCTGAACATTTTGGCATGCCTTAGAAAAAATGGATGTATGTGTGTGTGTGCGGATACAATTTTTCGTCGGCGATTTCGCGAGCACGAATCAAACGATTTGAATAATTTAAAAAACATTAGATTCGTATTAATGGGAAGACGTGCTGATTAGCTTTGGCAAAAGCAGGTCGAGCCGTTTTGACAAGAATGATAATTCAGGTTTTGAGAGAACGGAGCGTCCGATTTGAATTATTCAAAAAACATTTTATATGTATTAACGAAACGAAGAACTAACCAAATTTTTAACGGCAGATTTATTTAGTGGCGTTTATTTAGCAGGTTTATTACGAAAATTTTTGCATTTCTTCTTCTCATTGAAGGTTTCTGAACATTTTGGCATACCTCAGAAAAAAATGAATGTGTGTGTGTATTTTGTGTGTCCGCATTTTTGCGTTCACGTTTTCGGGCGCACAGATCAACCGATTTGAATCGTTTATAAAACATTCGACTCCTATTGATACGAGATGTACTGATTAGTTTTTGGCAAAGGCTGGTCCAGCCGTTACGGAGATAAAGAGCAAAGAGTGCAAAAAATAGAAATCGAGTTTTTGAGAGAACGGAGCATCTGATTTGGATGATCTAAAAAACATTTAATTAGCAATGATTGGGAAAAGTGGTTATTAGTTTTTGACAAAGGCAGGCCCAGCCATTTCGAAGATACACAGCTAAATGTACAAAAAATGACAGTTTTTGAGAGAAATAAGCATCCGAATTGGATGATTCAAAAAATTTTCTGCTTGTGTTGACAAAACAATTGCTTTTGGAAAAAAGAATTTTTTTCATTTCATTTTTTTTGTATATCGAAAATGATTCAAATTTGAATTTTAATTCTGGCTAAAGTTGTAAAGCTCACTTATATACTTTAAATAAATATTTTTGACTTTGTGATTCAGTTTGTATAATTCTTATTAGACAATGTTACAGTATTTATAATAATCTATTTGCAAACATTCAATATTACTCGAACATTTCGTTAAGGTACGGGAAGTTCCAACAATTTACCTTCAGGCACGATACCATGCACCCTACTAGTTTGATTATACAACAGCTAAGCAATGCGATTGCTTTAAAAAAAGTTCAAAATTATCAAAAAAATTCAAAATTTAAAAAAAATCTAATTTTTCAAAAAAAGTCGGTTTATTTCTAAAATAAACAAGAAATTTTTTTAAGTTTTCCAACAATTTTAAAGCATTATTAAAAAATTTAATTTTTAGTACTGGAAGTTCCAGCAATTTGCCTCGAGGCACGATACCATGCACCTCCAGTCAAATATTGAATTGCATTGTAAAATACGTATTAGGAAAGTATTGAAATATTTGCATCGACGCCACTGATTACATGTATTAATACGAGCATAAGTATTAATGTATGTAATGTATATATTTCTCAGTCGTCGATTCAAAGATCCCAGTATCATAATGTAACATTAGCATGCACGTACGAGTATAAGTCCCTTATAGTCATGCGCGAGTAAGACAACGAAACCGAAGGAGCGCAGCAGAATACAGGCAAACCCACACAACGAAACAGCCACACACCACATAAAAGCATACACGCATACACGCATTCACGCATTCACACAACTACAACACTGCACAACACATACACATAGAAGCAAACGCTACTACGATCTACGAGTGCGAACAACACAGGCCGTGGTTTGGTTGCGAGGAGAAACAGTCGACAGTCGCAAACGCATCGCTGTTTGGGACTCGCCAGTTCGCCACTCGCACACAGTCGCGCGTATCGTCGCGGTCGTACTTTCGTTTTATTCGACTATTCGACTATTCGAGTTTCGAGTGTAGTGGAACACGTCACGTGGTATAGAAGCGTTCGTGGCGTCGGGAATGGAGTTTGTCGTTTTCAGCTGCTCTTCGAGGCGGCTGGGGAATGGTCGCATTTAGGGATGCGAATGATGGGCTAGCATTTTAACCTAAATATACATATTAATTTTAGTGTAAATTATAACAGAAAATCCAATCAATATGACAATTATAGTTTTCCTTATTGACACTTCTGCCTCAATGAATCAGAGGGCGTATTTAGGCGGACGCCCCACGTTATTAGATGTAGCAAAGGGCGCCGTGGAGACGTTTGTCAAGGTAAAGGAAGGGGCCTAAATCATTTGATTATCTGTGACCAGTGGTTTGAGTTTGTTTATGGATTTAAATTAAAAGTGCGTTAATTATGTGCAGGTTCGGCAGAGATCGCAAGAAAGTCGAGGCGATAGGTACATGTTATTGACATTTGAAGAACCGCCAATGAACATAAAGGTAGGTGCAAATGTGCCTAAATCACATGCAGCTATGATTATATCGGACACACTGACAATATGACTTGAAGTCGTTGTTACTTATGGTGTTTGACTTATAATGACGGGTATCATTAATTAATAATCGATTTATTAATTCCGATGTAACGGATAACAATACAAAAGTTGAATTTACGCAGAGCATCACGGGAAGTCTCGTTCCGAAATGGCTACTAATTATTGTACAACTGTCAATGACATTGTTTGTCGTCGTCTCCTTCACTCCCTTCACTCTCATAAAACAAAAATTGATTATCTGCATCTCGTTTGCGCGAGTTACAAATTTTTTCAGGAAATGAGCGCAGTTTAATGCGCAATATGACAAACAATTTTAATAAATTTTAATTAAAAACATGTATTATTCAAAAAATAACCTCTATGCTCATCTACCATAAACAAACCTAATTTTTCATTATTGAATAATTGTTGAAATTCCATTGGTTTTGAAAACAACCCTCAAAATTATTTTAACATTTGTCCTCAATTTTCAATGAAAAATGTTGAGAAATTAAAACCTTGGAACTAAAGCAACAAACTATCATTAGATATTTTTTTATTATTATTATTTTCATTTAATTATATTGATATAGCAATGTTTTTTTTTTAAGATCATCTGTATTAAATGAATTGGTAAACATTTGATAATTTTGTTATTTTAGGCAGGATGGAAAGAAAACATAACTACATTTACAAATGAATTGAAAAATTTGCAATGTTATGGTATGACTACTATGGGTGCTGCTTTGAAGCATGCTTTTGACGTTTTGAATATAAATCGTATGCAAACTGGAATTGATACTTATGGCCAGGGTCGATGTCCTTATTTCTTAGAACCTTCAGTAATCGTTGTTATTACTGATGGAGGCAAATTATCTTCCAATGGGGGTGTTCATGACGAAGTAAGCATATTTAAATATAAAAAGTGAACAATTAGCCTTAATCTTATTTTTGCATTTGTTATTTTAATAATATAAAAATGTAATCAAAATTATCGAAAATTTTCCATTAATTTAAAAATAAGATCATGTTAATGACTGTAGTAACAGTTGAACCCAATTTTTTTATTGATTCACTTCTAACTAATATGATAAATTGATGTATTTTTAATTATTGCTGAAGGCCAAATGTAGTTTGGCCTAGTATAAGTGCTCTTAGTTTCAACTTCATAAAATAAGTAACTGCATAATACTGCAATCTCACACATATTATATATATATATATATATATATATATATATATATATATATATATATATATATATATAGAATATAATAGAATAGAACTTTATTAAAATTCAATAGTTACAATTTAAGTCACAATACATAATTATTCTAAAAATTTATTTGTAAAATAATAGGGATTGTTTAGTTTGTGTATATATATATATATATATATATATATATATATAAATATTTATGTGTGTGTTCTTTTAGAACAATACATCAAAGAAAAGAAAACAGATTTATAAATTAATCTTCAATTTCCGAACGTTTTAACATACAATTTAATGTCATTATAAATGTATATTGAATTTGGAATCTTATATCAAAAGATGTGTATAGGGCACAAAATTTAGTTCTAACATCAATACACTAATGTGTCACATTGACCTCGGACACTGTAGTAATTACAAGTTCTTTTGCAAAAATATCTTTATTTTATCGACATTTTTCCTAAACAATTCTCATTTTATTTTTGTACATAAAAGAAAAAAAAATCATGATTACTGACAGGGTAGTAATGTTAGTAAAAACCTTTGTGCTGCATACACATCTTTTGATGTAAGATACCAATTTCAATATGTGATGAAGACATTAAATTGCATGTCGAAACGTTTTGAATTAAAGATAAATTTATAAATCTGTTTTTTTTTTTATGTATCGCCATAAAGAGGTTACTTATATATCTCAACATCAAAATTAACTACGTTGTAGTTATATATATATATATATATATATATATATATATATATATACATATACACGTGCGTGTGTGTGTATTTGTATTTGTGTTCACGTAATCTTTTTAATTTTCAATTTTTAGTTACATAAAATGTATCTTATATATTTAAGTATAATATCTAATACTTCTGAGATAAATTAATATAATAAAATTGTGTTTTAGTTCAATTTACCGATGCATTCTCCAATTCCTGGCTCTGAATTAACACGAGAGCCGTTTCGCTGGGATCAACGACTGTTTTCTTTAGTCTTGAGGTTGTCTGGTACACCTGCAGTGGAAAGAGACAGTGGCTTAGTTCCTAGCGATTCCTCCCCTATAGATGCTATGTGTGAAGTCACAGGAGGTAGGTTAATTTTTAGAACACTTTGAAAATCATTAAAAAAATACAATAGCTTTTGTTTTTCTTTTTTGTCTTGATATTTAGGCCGTTCATATTGCATTACATCACATCGGATGTTAATGCAGTGTATTGACAGTTTAGTACAAAAAGTTCAATCAGGAGTTGTTATCAATTTTGAGAAAATAGGACCAGATCCCCCCAGTTTAGATATAAATATGGACATCGACTCGAGGGATGGAGAGAATATACTAGAAGTAGATGAAAGAAATGGAGTAAGTCTTGTTTAAATTTAATGTATCAACCATTCTCTTTTGCTGAAGAATAAGTTAAATGTCGTTGTCACCACATATTCATATCAGTGATTTGAAGTGTTTTTGCTTTATATAGGTTTAATTATAATACTTTTATATTCACAATTTCAAGGCTAATGTAATTAGCTATTCAAACTGAACTGAGCATGTGATGATAATAATAACTAAATGTTTTATGTTTGAATCTAATTAAATTATGAATCTACTTTGTTAATATTCTCTCCATTTGAAATATAATATGTAGGCTATGTCAATTGATCTAGTGCTTTATTATACTAGTATCTGTTATTGTTAAATATCTCTACATTAATTTTGTTACAGTTTCGTGCTGGAAATTTTCCAACTTGGCAATCATGTAGAAGATTAATATATGTTCCAAGAACGACGGCACAAAAAGGGTTTGCTATTGGTTATTGGCCTATACCTGAATCGTTTTGGCCAGATCTGGGAGCTGCTGCACTTGTAAGTCCAAATTATTTATTAACAATTGCCAGGGCACTGCTATTATGAAATATTAATGCCGAATGGTTGCATAATTGGATTTTTTTTTAAGTATTGCTTGTCATTAATGCTTATTGAATGAATAATTTATTAAAAATATTTCTCATAATTTTATGCATATAGTTTGTTCTAGTTATGAAGTCAGCAATCTTTTAATTTATTGAATTATTAATTGATTACAGTTGGATAGATCATTTTGCATATTATGATTTATATTAAAATGCAATCAGTCTATAACTAGCTACAGCTTTAGAATTAAATGTTTCAGCCACCAAGATCTGCCCATCCAAATGTGAAATTTACTTGTACAAGCCAAGAACCAATGGTAATAGAGAATTTACCTTTTGATAAATATGAATTAGAACCTAGTCCTTTAACTCAATATATTCTAGCAAGAAAACAGCCTACAGTATGCTGGCAGGTAGCTCCATTCTTTTTTAAAAATATATTTTGATATAAAAAGGCAATTAATAATTGATATTTATTTTTGTTAAAGATATTTGTAGCTAATAGTTCAAAAAGTGGAGAAATTGGTCACCCATTCGGGTATTTGAAAGCTAGCACAAATTTGAGTTGTGTCAACATGTTTGTAATGCCATACAATTATCCTGTGTTATTACCTTTACTAGAAGAATTATTTAAAGTACATAGATGCAAACCTAGTAATGACTGGAAAACACATTTTGGAAATTATCTAAGAACGATGCCACCTTATTATGCAGCTGTAAGTGAATTCAATTCATCTTTTACAATTTGTAGATTATGCCATTCAATCATTGACTTTCAGATAAAAAATGAATTTATATAAAAATTAGTATAAATAAGTTAAGTTCCCATTTAGCTAACTTAATAAGTTTGAGATATTTCTTCACAATAAAATATCATTACTATCAATGAGTAACTTGGCAAAAAAAAATAATTTTATTTTATTTTGTTATAGCCATTAAAAAGAGCTTTAATTAGAATGGGAGCTCCTGCACCTTTAGCATCAGCTTTAATTACTGATTCTATGGAAAATTCACTAAGTTACTTAGTTCTAAATTATTTGAAACGTGCTAAAACACAAGCCAAAATCGAATTTGATAAACTATGTAATGATGTAAGTAAATATTTCATTCCCTTTAATATTGTGATTTAGTTTTCTTCACATATGTTTATAAACAATTTTATTTAGGTTATCAGCAAACAGAATAATGGTAAACATGGGGTACCAAATGAAACAGTGCGAGTTGTTGCGAGATCTCCTTTTAAAAAGGATCTTCTGTCGCATCCACAGCTCCAAGGTATTTGTAATACATTTTTACAAAAATGAAGAATTAAGATTATCTCACATAATATGTATTGATAACTTTCAGACAAATTTTCACAGTTGAGAGAACAACTTAATGATTTTAGTGGGTTTGTTGTTAATTTATCGAAATCTCGTCAAAAAAGTAGTTGTAGTTTTAGGAATCCATTTGATATATCACGGAGTGTTTTATTAGATCAGGTCAGTTTCAATATATTCTTTTTTTTGTCATCATTGTTTTTGTGATTGCTAGATTAATATGCATTGCAACAGTTTTTTTTTGTGTATTCATAGCAAAGTCAATATATATTTTTTTAATAGGTTGTTCGTATGAGGGCAAACTTTTTGCAGCCTTCTTTATCTCATACACAATTAATAGATGATGACAGCTTGCACTCAATGCCTGTAGGTCAAATGGGAAATTATCAGGAACATTTGAAACGAATGACACCACAATTGCGAGAACTTGAAAGTCAACCTGTCAGACAACACATGTTTGGAAATCCTTTCAAGATAGATAAAGTAAGTTTATATAGTGTTGTATTAATAAAAAAATAATTAAAATCTCATTAAGTATGCTCTATTAGATTTTTTTTTTTATAAATATTGGTACCCACTCAACTTTTTATATTATGCTTGTAGGCAAAATTAATAATACATTATGTATATTATTAAATTTATAAATAATATACTAATAGAAAGCAATTATTGAATAACAATTAGTTATTGGTTCAATAATATCATCCAAGTGATTTTTCTGAACCACAGTACAATTATCCCAAGTACTATGTAAAATATTAGAAAAATCTAAACCCTCCTTTGAACTCTAAAATAAAAAGAGTAAATAAAATTTGTATTAATATTTGATTTATTTAAAAAAAATGTTTACTCTTCAAACAATTCTTTTTTCAACTATGAATTAGTTATTAATTACATTTTTTATGCTTTGACTTCTCAATCTTCTATATGATGTATAACAAAATTTATGTACAACAGATTAGTCAAAATTAATAAAATAAATGATGCAATGACTAATTTTGTAAAAAAATAACACCTATTATAAAAGTTTCATTTTTTATTATACTTTCTATTTTTGCTATTGTATTATTAAATTCATTTTTTTTATTAGAGAATGATTATATTGTTTGTTTCAATATGATTATGTGATCTAATTGATTGAAGAATAAAAAATTTTCAATTTTTTATCATCACTTGACACTGTATATTCCAGATTTAAGCTTGCATATCAAGTAATAGTAAAATTATTCTGTGGTACTGATAATTAATCTTTAATTGCAGCGAATGATGGTGGATGAAGCTGATATAGACTTAGTTGGATCCACATCAAAAAGCCCCAAACGTTTGACACCAATGGAACCTGCCTCGCCTAGAATAAACAATAAGCGAAAAGCTGGACCTCTTCCAAGAGACTTCCGTTTTAGTAAACCTGAAAGTCCAATTCACGAAACATCTTCATACCCTTCAAGTCCGTCTTTATCTCCCTCCTCTCATGTTTACACTCCTGCGAGTCCTATATCATCAGGATATTCCAACCCTGTCTTATTACCTCCTGTGTATACAATGAGCTCTGAATTGATTGCAAGTTTAGGGACTCCAGTCGTTACAATAGCGCCGATGCAAAATTTAGAATCTGGCATTGTTTCTCCCTCCTGGTCATCTTTAGGTAATATTATCAGACAAACAGTAATATAATTAGAAGTTTTCAAGTTTTTTGTGTTTATAAATCAATCTGATATCTTTCTTGTACTGCATAAATATTTATGTGATTATGTATGTATGTATATGTATAATGTACTTTATTACATTTTTTTTTTTAATTCAGGTTCTTCAAGCTTGTCCACATCAATTCAGACGTCAAACAATTTACTTAATCCTCTTGATGATATCGATCTACTTAATCCTATGAGCAGTCAAGATTTGCAAGATAATGGTGGCAGATTACAAATAGATTATAGATTTGTAAATGGAGGTAATAAAACCAATAATTTCGAAGATTTTTTTGTTTTGTATATTTATATTTACTGAAGATATTTTGTAACTTTATATTGGAGATAAAAATATAAGTAAAACGCTGCAAAATATTTGTTAATAAATAAAGAAATCATAGATATTTTTAAATGATACTATTCTTAGCTTTTTACTGGTAAGTTTTCATTTCATATATTATTAATGCTTAAAAACTTTAATTATTCAGATATGATTTTATTTTACTTCTTAATTGCAGATAGTAAAAACGTTCAAGCAGAATCTACAAGATCTCCTTCACCTACACTGCCTTATAATCCTGAACCAGGAAATGGTGATCGACCACTTCCAACATATTCTAATCATGTTAAAAATAGTAGCAGTATTGCAAATTTAAGTCAAGAAAAACAAATATCAATGATACTTCAAGAAGTTAATTCGAATGGTGGAGATTTTACTAAACGATCTGGTTCAATTAGTAATAGTAAAAAGTCTACTAATGGACCTGTGGAGGAGGCACCACGAAAAAAAAATACAAAGCAGGATTTGTTAGATATTAAAAAACATAATTTGTCGGTTAGGAAGCTAGTTTACAAAGAAGTTCGGAGACCTGGGAGAAGTAAGTTGTCTATGCTTGAAAGATTTTTAAAGATTAACTTTTTACTTATATATGCATACACACACATACACACACACACACACATATATATATATATATATATATATATATATTTATATATATATATATATATATATATTAGGGTGGTCCTTAAAATGGTCATTTTCGAATTTCCTTGCTCCCAGGGGCTCAAATGGTTCCAAATTGATAAAAAACAATTCTGAAAGTTTTAGCTCTTAATATTAACGTTTAGATAGAGCGCAATTCAATCAAAGTTTGTATGGAAAGAGCATGGAAAAATTTTTGAAAATTAAAAAAAAATGTTTTAGGTGTAACTTAGTGACAAATGAATGAGTTTTATTCATTCATTTGTTCGCTAAATTACATTTAAAAAACATTTTTAAAATTTTTGAAAAATTTTCCATGCTCTTTCCATACAAAACTTTGATTGAATTGCGCTTTATCTAAACGTTAATATTAAGAGCTAAAATTTCAGAGAATTGTTTTTTATCTATTTGGAACCATTTGCGCCCCTGGGAGCAAGGAAATTCGAAAATGACTATTTTAAGGACCACCCTAATATATATATATATATATATATATATATATATATATATTGGAAGCAGAAGTTTGGAAATGAAAATACATGAAATAAAAAAATGGGGAGAGGGAATAGTGATAATGGGATGAAGGGTGAGGGAATTATTTGCTTGTGGTGGCTACACCATGGACCTGTTTTCGGGCAGATTACCATTTATTATTATTATATATATATATTTAGTACTACTTGTATTATAAATTAAATTCTTGATTTTATTTGCAGATTTTGCTCCACTATTCGATCACCTAGAAACTATGCAAGGAACCTTAGATGTCCGAGTTCTCTTAGTGAAAGAAATCATTAAGGAATGTTTACGATTTAAAAGAAAGACATTAGCTAGTTTGTTAGAGGAATTTTTAAAAAGAATCCAGAATGGATTACAACCTAAATTGAAGGATCTTTATCAAGCAGTTGCCAACAAGAGCTTAGTGTGATACATACTGATAATTGTTTTTAATATATTTTTTATTACATTGTTATAAATAAATATTATGAAAATATTTTTCAGATTCTAATATGTTGTAAATTATTGTACATATTGTGTAGCTGAATCTAGTTCATTGACGATAAAATTGACTTGTCATATGGACATACTATATAGAAATTGAGACATTGTATACACGTTGACACATTGTATAGAGAAATTGTATATGTACACACATTATGATGTAAGACATTGTTTATTAAATTTTATACATATTATTTATCCATATATTTTTCTTCATTTGTTTCACAGCATCTTTATACACATGCACTTTCCTGGAGAATCGCTAAGCATTATGCTTTGGCCCATTTTATACGTTGCTTGCTAACAATTTGGTCCAAGTTAAGAAACGTTTTTCACCAAATGAAAGTCATTAGATTTATATTATAGATTTAAGATTTTCAAGAGGTTGATAATTAAATAACAAATTATGTATACCATTATAAACTTTTAAATCCTTTATGCTTAATGTTGTGAATAAACAAAAATATTGGTTTATATATTGATGTGGAGGATTGATTGATTGATTGACTTGTTTGATTTTATTGTTTGATTCATTTGTGTCTGAAAGTTGAGCTGTGGGAATCTTATCACGAGTGTCGCTGTTTTGTAATTTTAGTTTACAATCTTAATTATAAATAAGAATATTTCTCTTATACTTTTATATTTCTCTTATATTTATATGGCTCTACTTTTTAATATAGTCTATAAAATTATATATACATATATAATTTTTTTTTATCATTATAGGAAAGTGATACAGTTACAAAATATAAATAAAACGATTTTTAAAGTTATTCATGTGAATTAATTGCCATCTGTTATAGTTAATTATTATGAATGCAACAAATATGACAGGGCTCATGAACAATTCAATTGGATGGATATTTTGCTAAGCTATTTTATCAAAGCCTAATAAATTTCAATAATTCAAGAAACATTTTCCTTGTATTGATAAAATGAAGAAGTAACAGTTTTTGGTAAGGTAGGTTCAGCGGCGGTCAAAAATAATGATTACACATATGCACATCAAATTTTAGTAAGCACACATTTTGCTTACATTTCTATGGGTTCCGTATCAAGATATAGTGTTTAACCGTTAGACTGAAACGCGGCGCTTACGCGCTTCGATATCATATATAAAAATTTTAATTATTAAAAAAAACAAAACGAATTTTTTTTCCAAAAATTCTAATTTCTCAAAAATATAATTTTTTCAGTTTTCAAAAAAAATAAAATTTTAAATTACGGCACGGAACGTTTCAGCAATTTGCATGGCAAGTTATAGTAACCGCAAAAAAATCGAAAATGTTTATATATTTTTACGTTTCAAAGGTTTCTGAACGTTTCGACATACCTTATAAAAAATGAATGTATGTGTGTGTGCGGATGCAAATTTTCGTCGACGATTTTGGGAACACCGATCAACTGATTTGAAAAAGCATTCGATTCATATTGATAAGGAGACGTGCTGATTAGTTTTTGGCATAGGCAGGTCTGGCCGTTCCGAAGAGACGGGGCAAAAAGTGCCAAAAACGGTAACTCAGTTTTTAAGAGAACGGAGCATCCGATTTTAATAATTCAAAATTATTTTTCTTGTATGGACAAGGTGAAGAACTAATTAAATTTTTGGGAAGGCAGGTCCAGCGGTTTCAAAGATGTAGTAAAAAAATGTCATTTGGTGGTTAAAAATGATCATTAGACATATGCACATCAAATTATCGGATATTTTTATGAAGATTTTAATAATATGTATCAATTTTGTTTACATTTCTATGAGTTCCGCAACATCGTTTGTTCGTTAGACGGCGACGCGGCGCTTGCTTTGAAAAAAAGTTCAAAAATTCCAAAATTAAAAATTTTTCATAAATTTGATTTCAAAGTTAAAAAAAAAAATTAATCATTTTTGAAAAACTTAATTTTTGATACGGGAAGTTCTAGCAATTTGCCTTAAGGCATGATGCCATACACAACTAGTTTTTGATTATACAGTAGAACCTCGTTTATCCGGACTTATCCGGTTGTACGGATTTGCGATTATCCGGACTAACAACCGCAACGAATTTCTATGTATGTACATAACTACAATTCGAATTTTTGCATGATTACTGCTGCATTGTAGTATATGTATGTAATGAAATCTAATTTTAAGAAAATATATATGTACATACACAAGGAAGTTTCAATTTCTCAATAAACATTAATTTTCGTTGATCTTCATCCAAAAATGAAATTTCATTACCTTTTCTTTTATCCAAACAATGACAAAAAAACGTTTTATAGCTGTTTCAGTGGTGTTACCCTTTCTTAGAAAGAATATACTTTGTGTCGGGTGGAATTAAATTCATCGTTCAATTGTACAATATTGAATCCTATTTGGATGACCTTAGATTCAGTAATAATCTTTTCGCACGGTAGTTTCGTGTAGCACGTATAAGTTTAATGAATCACAATAAATATAAATACATAGGTTGAAAATCCCTGTAGTGAAGCATGCGCTATTTTAGTCAGAGTATCCCAAACACACTTTTGCGATTCTGCGTCATGGTGTTGACATTTGGCTTGAGGCCAGTTATTGTTCGGTAGCATCATTGACTAACGTGGATCTCGATAGAAGTACCTATATAAAAGCTAGTTAAATACCTAAAATTCTTTCTTCAGAGCTAAATCGTCGCGATATGTAGTCGACTTTGCCTGTCAATACGGATAATTCTTAAAAGACGCAATTACACTTGTCATCTCAGCCTTTATTTGTCAGTGATAAAAAACGCGGAAATTAATTCATTGTTTCCGGCCGTGATTGTTCCGTTTAAATTTCTTTAAAAATTGTTGACAAGTTTTGTTTATGTCAGTTCATCAAAAAAACATGAGTTGGAGACATATGGTATGACATTAATTTTGTTTATTTGATTTTGTAATTTGTGCTCTTTTAACGTTGAAATTATCTTTGAGAAATAATTGGTAAATTCTAGTCATTAAAAAAATAATTAGGATTGTTTATACGTGATTTACGAATTAATTGCTCAATATGTATAAAATGTTTTAACCATAATTGTGTCATTAATTGTACTATATTTATATATGTATATAATATATATATATATATATAAATATGTATTCATAATTATGAAGTAAAAATCGTTATAATCATAAATCGAATATTATTAGATATTGTGCTTTGATTTGTTTTTAAGGAATTTATGCCAATATTTTTTATATTTTTTATAACCAAGAGTCCTTTCACTTTATTTAAAGTCATAGTTAGTTTGATTCG